TCACCTGCTCTTACGGCAAAGGGATTATAATTCTGCCCATAAGCACAGCTGGAAAGGATAAGGGTGGACAGACTGAGAAGAATCACACCAGTGCACAGCAAGTGTTACACACTTTGAATTCAGCTACGATTTTCTTACACAGTGTCTTCTCAAGCACCTGCAGGTGCACAGCAGCAGAAGATTTTACTTCCTGACAGCTGCGATCATTTGACTAAATTTCATTCCCTTTCCTATGAAGCTGCTCTCTGACAACACATGCTGCATTTGAGTGGCCAAGCCCAAACCACTTTGTTCCTCTCAAGGTCAGAGATCCTTCCTCTTACTCTTTATCTGGGTGCCACTAATGGCAAGGACAGCCACAGCCTCTGGCTCTGCTACTTGCTGACAGGTGTGGGCAGTGCCATTGCCCTGCAACCTCCTTCCCCTTCCTATTACACACACTCACACTTTCTGGACTCTTAAACACGTATCAGGTCCCTTCACTCAACAGGCCATTCCCACACCTCTGCACATGATTTTGGGAGTCCTGTTTCTCCTGTCCTTGGCCCTCCCTGCCAGGCCACTCCCATAAAACCCATTCAGTCCTGTCCCAAAAACCACTTGCCCAAGTACACGACCCACTCCTGCCACCTTCAAGGCAGTGGCTGACAACAAACAGAAAATTGTGGTGGTGCAGAGAGAAGCCAAGGCAAACCCCAAAAGCATTAAACAGATTATCCTGACACACAAGCTTCTCTAACAGGGAGGGATACAGAATTCCTGACGTTCTCAGCTGGCAAAGAGCAAATGGGAAAAATGTTATGCATGAAAGCCACTTTCAGATGCCATTTAGCATTTTAAAACCTTGAGTAATTTTCCTTACATGACTGAAGGCTGAAATTCCAATTCTCAGGATTTTCAAGCTGAGTAAACGAGGAAAGATCTATCTCTGATCTACAGGTATTTTTTTGCTAGTTAAATTGAAGTATATATATGTATATATAAAAGAGTGAACATTTTTTTCCAATGTCTAAGAATTCTTAAACTGAAGAAGGAAAAATTTCAACATATTAGGTTAACCTTTCAAAGGTATTTTAAACAGACAGAAAACAAACTTTTGCAACATCACAGAAGTGACCTGTGCTTAGCCCTTCTGAAGTTTACAGTTATTAAACAAAGGATGCAAAAGGCACTATACCAAAACCATGACTCACTATCAAACTACAGGTGCTGCAAGTTTGCTGAAGCTTAAGAAAAAACACATTCCAATGCATCTCTTAAATGATTTACCATGCTTTATGCTCACTCTGAAAATAGTAAAAATAACATATTGGCTTGCTAGCTCTAATGCCACTTGTGCTCTCACACACTGCCAAGTCACCTGTCAACATTTGCAGCATGCAAGAGGCCCTCACACCACACAAAACAAATCACCCCCACTCTGACTGAGCTGTGGGAGACCATCAGAGCCACATTTATGGCACCGCAGAGTAAAATTCAGGCTGCATTTTGCCTGCAGAAATAATTCAAGTCATTGATAGATGGTGTTGCGACACTGTCTCTGAATCACCAGGACAACTACTGCCACTCAGAAAAGAGGGAGCTATAAAGAGCTGTGGACATGTCATCAGTCAGTCTTTTCCTGGAAATGGAGAAGGTTAAAAAACAAAAAAAGAAAAAGCTCACAACTCAGGATAATTCCTATCAAGCTTTAAAGTAGGCTCAAGTAATTGAGACCTCTTCTATTAAACAAAATTAAAAGTCCCAGAGTTCAACACAGTAAATTTAAAAAGGATAGAGATAAATTTTCCTGCTCTAGAAACATGGGCCTCAGACTCCCTGTTTGCCACAATATTCCTCAGCTGGCAAAACGAAAAGCTGGCAGCCACCCAAGGTATTCAAACAAAGCATTGTAATTAGAAGCTACTTAGGGCACCATGAACCAAAATATATGCTAATAAAAACATCATTAACTAACTTAAGAGGAGACTCTTCTTAGGGGAGGGAATCTTTGCTAATAACAACATAACTGTCGGGCATGTAAGTCCCAAAGACTGTGGCAACAATTCAAAGTTAATGGGGAAAACGTGAGATAGGAGGGGAAAAAGTGACATTTGGGAAATACTGGTGTAGAGGGGAAGTGACTATAAGAAAAAAAATAAAGCCAGTTTGTTGGATAGCACACCAACACAAAGCCACCAGGTCCACAGAGACCAGTACTCAGGCACAGAAGATAGGGGGATTTTGTGAAGTCTGCTGCCAGTTTGTTTCTTTCTAGTCAAGAAAAAGGGAAAGAACAAATAACAAGATAAAAGGATTAAGAAGCTCTCTCTCCTTTTGTAATCGTGTACTATGTGAATTTTTCACCACAAGCCACAAATCCCTCTCCAGGGTCTCCTCCTAAGAAGCACACTCAGCATTCACCCCCACCAGGGATATGATAGGAAAGCTTTTAATCTCCATTTTCTGCTGCATTGTCACTCTGCAGCACTGACTCCAAGCTAGCAGTTTCCCAGAGAAAATCATGAACAGAGAAGTGAAAACTCATTACAAGGGACAAACTCATGAACAGAAGCACCACTACTGTTGTTTCTGCCTGCCTGCTCTACCACGGTTAAGGTTTGAGCTCCACTTCCATGGCATAAGTGAGGACTCAGTTAAACCTCAGCCAGGGCTCTCCTGCTGTGAAGGCTCCACATCAGCATGTAGACACAGCTGGCTCAGCTGGGGGAGCACAGGGCATCCCAACTCCAGAATAAGCACAAGCCTATGCTTGGCCTTGCATTCAGGAGAGTGAAGCCAAATGAAGGCAATGCTGAAAGAGCAGAAAGTCCTAAACACTGCTCTCAGCAGTACAGACTGGCAAAACTGCCAGGCTTCGGCAGTGGAACACAAAGCCTCAACAAAAATTGCAAAGAACATTTGCAAGGACAATTCTCAAAGCAGAAACAACACTCAGAAGGCATTTATTAGTACACTGTGAAAACAGCAATAGGCCCAGACAATGGGATAGGCTGGAAATGTTGGGTCATCATTGTTGTTCAGGGAATAGTTAGAAAAAAATTAACAGGGAAGACATTTCTTCTTGAATTGCAGAACAGAAGAAGTAACACAAAACAAAACAATCAAAAATCCCTAATTGAAGTAAGATATTGAGAAACATCATATGTTCAGCTGTAATGTAAAACAGGAATGTTATAGGACAGAGAATGACCTGGACCAGTATGGACCTCACCTTGGGAAACTTGTCTGCCTTTGTAGCTTGCACTCAACACCAGTGAACTTTGTTTACTATATCACTACACTTCCCTAGTCCTACTGAAGGACTGGGAATACACTGTGGAAACACAGAACATAAAGATGGTCCCTGGACTAATTCATGATTACTAATTAATGAAAACATTTAACATGTCTTATCTGTAAAAAATTCTATGCAATCTAACAAAGTTTGTGGTGCTCACTGCTCACTACAGTTTGACAAACACACATACACACACAAAAAGGAAAGCAGATGTTTGAAAAATGATGAGTTAAAAAGAATTGAGAGGAAGCATAAGGGACTAGTTGGGAAGGATGGATTTTGTGTACAACAGTCAGAGCTCAGTCACAGATTTCTTGGCTCAAATGCGGCATCACTTGTTTCAGTAAATACGGATATTACTATCCACCAACTTTTAAAGGGCTTTGAGAGTTCTTAGACTATGTAGGAAAATAGTTTTTTTGATATAAGTATTAATCCTACTGAGTTTTGTGTGTAAAGTGCTAAAAGGAAAAGAAAAAGCATGAAGAGCAGAGCAGTGGAGGGAAAAGAGAGAGAATAAGCAAAGAAACAGAAACCGTGGGAAAGAAACCTGAACTTTTGCTACCTCTTGCAGTAATTAGTCAGTTATCAGCTCCAGACCATGCAGAAATGGAACAAACAAGATTCAAGGGAAGGAATTAGGCTTCAAATATGTTTTTCAAGGTCCATTTTCCCATGATAAATAACTTACTGAATTGTTATGAGTCAACATATTTCATCAGGGTCACTTTACCTCATGCTATGCATTGTAAATAAAAGCACAAGCATTTCCTGCAGTTAAGAGCAAAAATCTTCTTTGCCCACAATTCACATACAGGGTATGGGGAATACAGTGGGATATACCAGGACTGAATCCCAGTCTGTATAAGCATCCCATTTTATCCCAACCTAATGTGAGCATAGCTACAATTTCCTAAGAAGAGACATTGTGCATATTTCACAAGTTTGAAGATGTTCTAGAAGTGTGCATAGGTTTTTCCATCTCTCTCATATTTCTCAAGACAAACATGGGCATATATTAAAAGAAACCTACAGCTCCACAGTCTATTACTGTGTACTACTGCCACTGAGGCTATTAAAAAAAAAAAAAAATCAACCAGACTTACAGTTAAGATGAACTAATGCCCAAAAATCCATTATGGTTTGGGGTTTTTTTGGTTTTTTTTTAAAGTCAAAGGGAAAGCTGCATGATCTGAGTAATTCACACACTAGAGACAAAAAACCAAAGTGTTTCAGGTTGCAGTGGTAATTTCCTAAATAATAACAGCAGACACAAGCCATGCCCATATTCACTGTTCTAATCCAAGACAATCCTGGAGTCACCACCTAAGTTCAGACCACCCCCAGCCCATGGGCTGCAACTCAAAGCCTTTCCAATGCCCATGAAAACTGCCAGACACAAACCTGATGAAACCAGAGGGGAGCTGGATGTTGCTGGGGCACTGCTCAAGCTGTCTTGAGGAAGGTGGCTGACAATTCACACCATAGTTTGGGGTTTTTTTAGGTAAGTGGTATGCTCAGCCTGTCTCTGAATTTTCCCCATCCATGGAAAGGGAACCTACATACTTTGGTGCCTGCTGACAACCTGCATTGCACAGCCTTGCAAAGATTCAAGAGGTTGATACTTACGAAGTCTTCTGAAGAAGAAAGGTTTAGAATAGCACATCAACACAGTAAGAGAGACCAGAATAATAAAAGCATTCTGCAAACTAATACTCACCCGTTCCTGACCAGCTGTGTCCCAGATCAGAAATTTATGAAGCTCATTCCCACATGGCACAGTTTTAGTCATGAAGGATGCTCTGAAAATAAGGAAGAAAGTGAAATTTGTAACATAACTGGCACTCTGAATATGTAACCTGGAGACCTTAGTGAGTTCTGCTGGATTAGACTGCATTTGGGGAAAACTCCAAAACCTTGATAAAATACCTGCAGAAGTCTCCCTTTTCTCAGATAGAACATATGCTACCTATAAATGTATTTTTTAAAAAGAAGGAAAAAGCCTCTGAAGTTCAGAGGGCATTTTTTCATGGGTCCAGGAACACAAATGCTCCTGCCATTCACACGTAGCTTCTGCTGCTTGTTAGCTCCATCTTCTTGGTGATACGGGCCTGAGAAAAAGGCAACAGACAACATCCTGCACCACTTTTCACTTCAACATATGAGACTAGATCACCAGGGAACAGAAAAGTCACCTGCTGGAGTGCACATGGTAAACAAATGCAAGAAAGTTGTTCCTCCTTTCAACTGGGATGAAAAAGTCTTTCCAGTTTCTTTTATTTTCCATAGGAAATGAGGTTGGTCTATATTTTTAAAGTTTTTTTCTTTTAGGAAAGAAGGTTACTAATTTATAGGCTTTTTCTGCATTACAGCAGTCCATTTGAAAGCTGGTAGGAGAGACTGCCAAACTCCGGCAGATTTCTATTTTCCCCATCCTATCTGGGTACTGCTGAACCATTTTTGATGTGGTAACATTTTTCCTGGCTCATAGAGATGCATTTCATCTCTATCTCATCACAATGCACAGTCATTACAAAAGCACCAAATGACATCAAATGACATATGACTGAACGAAACATTTCCTGAGAATGATAAACCAGAGCTCTCCTTTACAGCCATCTGCAAATTGCTTAAATTTAACAATGCTGCACTGCTTATGAAAGTACTAACTAAGGGAAGAAAAAGAAAATAAAGGCAACATTTCTGTAGTTGTTTTTAGGGTGTGTTCTCTCAGTTGTCACTCCCTTCTCAAACCAATAAGCAACACTTCACAGCTTCAAAAACGGGAACTTTATAGATCCACAGCAGCAACTGTTGATTGCAAGGATTATACATTTGAAATAGTTGAATAATTTGGAAGAAAAAAACCTTTATCTGTGCAGACAAATATTATCACCTGTGTGAAGCTAGCCTTCACATTTTAATCTCTCAGTGGAAAAAAAAAATCCCTTTAGTTTTCATAATTATAATAACAGAGGAAAATTGTTTTCCAAATTGAGCAGAAGGCTTAACTTAGCAACAGCTACTTAGGGAAAAGGGCCGCTAGAGGTAAAAAAAAACAAAACAAAAAACACTCAAGTTGCCATCAATTCCTTCACTGCAAACAAGTGTCCTTCAGCCAGTAATTTTATTCATGACATGTTTCCCTTCTCTCTGTCCATTTTTCTCTATTCATCTCATTCAGGAATCCAAAATTGTCCTGGAACTTCTACGTGCAGCATCCAGCTGAGACTGCTCCGTGCATTGAAAGGCAGAGCTTCAGAAGGTACCATGCAACCCTCTGAACAACACACAGCAAACAATACCAATCCTTCACAGACGACTTATGACACCTCTGACACACATGCCAGACCAGCCCTTTCCCCAGAAATTACTCCTTTCTGTACATTCCATAATAGCTTCCTTTCTCATAAGAGATCCATAACTTTAAAAATTTTCCAGGTCGCACTGGACTTGGAAGATCTGTCCCTAAGATATTAAAAGAAGAAAAAAACCCCACAACTCTGAATTAAAATCTACTGCAGAACTATTAGGATTCTGATGGTCTGATACATGGAAGCTTAGTAGTTTTTAAAGAAGCAATATAAATTAATGATACTTAGTTTAAATTGCATTGTTCCTATTTTAAGAAAGGACAATGTGACACATCTTAAACTTAGACAAAAGCACATCCATATGGGGAAACAGACACTGTCCATGTTCCAGACCAGCCTACCAGGACACTCAACAAAGGTACTTTAAGGGCTTCCCATGGTCTTTCTGCCATTACTCAGCTATGGGATTACTTGATCATTGTGGCAGATCCCCACCTCTTGGGTTGTGGGGTTTTGGTATTTGTCTTGTCAAGAGCTTCCCACTTTAGACTGTTATGGCTGTAGGACCTTAGGACTTAAATCACTCAAGGGTCAGATTTGAAACCTCACTGACATGAAAACCAAAGTGGTACTATGTGTGGTACTTACCCAATAGTAGGACTAATATTATGATCAAAGTGGTCCTGGACAAACCGACAAACGATGCTCGATTTCCCAACCCCAGTATCCTGGAAACCAAAGAAAGCATGACAGTGAGTCATGAAGTCATATCCAGGAGACCCTAGATGTCAATACTTCACTTGATTTATTTTCAAGAATTAATATTTCTTCTTGTCCTGTGGCAAGCGGGGCACATTACACATTTCAGAAGAAAAGTGAGGACATGTCTTATCCTTTTCAAACATCAGCATTGTGAGTGAATCTCCCTGGCCTTCTTCCCAGGACTCCCTTCTCTCCAAGCTCTCTATTTTATTGGGTGGATTTTATATTCCTGTTGCAAGGACTACAGTCCATCCAGCATAGCCATTTACTTGTACAAGCAAACCCCGTGCTTTCCAACACATGGCGCATTACACAGCAGAGCCAGAGAAACAATTTCATTCAGGCCTGTTGCATGGCCAGCCTAAGCAAGCTTCCAAAACAGACTAACAACAACAACATTTTAGCACTCTGACAGCACTGGCTTGGTGGAAATAACCTTTTCATGGCAAAACAAACTAGCCCACTTAGTGGAAACTTTGCAGAGGCTTTGGGTGGTTTTGAAAAGGTAGGAATCCAAAGATCTGGATCCCCAGAGATGTGCAGCTCTCCCTGTGCATGCTCTGTTAGAGGTCTGCAGTGCATTACTTTAAAGGCAACACAGCTTGCATTCGACACTGCAACAAGGCAGGCTGATTCCATTTGCAGGAATAGTCTTTTTTTTAATTCTTTTAACACACCCAATTAGTAGGGAAAAATAACAGCAGTACAATACTAGAATAAAATTCAAAATAACCTGAAGGGGCAGGAGAAAACTTGAAATTATGCAGAAATATTATTTAGACATTTAAGATATAAACAACTTCCCTAAAATGCAACATTTTTCAGTCTGTCTGTTTTTGCCCAAAGCCTTTGGTGGCAGGTAGAACTTAAATTATACAGGAAATTATCAAGGCAGAGGAATAACATTATCGCTATGTCTTCCACAGAATTGCAAAGAACCTCCTTAGAGACAAAAAGGATGCCAGGAAATCGATACTGACCTTTCCAAGACATTAACAATGACAGCCCAGGGTCCAATCTAACTCATTAAACAGTCAATGGAAAGTTTTCTATTAATTTCATTGAAGTGATTGCAGAACTACCAGATTGTACCTGGTAGCTCCATTTGTATCCTTATTTTAAGGTGACTAATTTACACAACATTCTTGAAAAATGGCAAGACATGACAATACAGTTTGTTAACAGTACAACACATATAACGAGTAAAAAAATAGAAAAGCAGCTTCTGCCCACACATAACCACATATTAAAAATAGCAGCACTTCTGCCTCTACTATAATCAATTTGGCAATGTTATCTTCTTTTTGAATAAGAAAGAAAAAGAATGTCTGTATTTACATTTCCTTCCACCACGCTCAAATGAAACTGTATTGTCATGCCAGTCTTTATAAACAGCATTTATTAGAAAACCATCATTTAAACTCTCATATTTAATTCAATGCTGTCCTTAGTCAGCTTAAAAGCGATAATAAATGCTCATGTTACACAGACAGTTGTTTATCTACTCTGTTCAATCAATAGGAAAAAAAGATCAAAGAGAGGAGCAGTGTTTCAAAACAGCCCTGTAGCCTTTGATCAATAGCAGTAACACATCCTGTTACTGTTCCCAAATTTTGCCTTCATTATTGATTCCAGGTGACATCACTGTATAATTACTATACCAGGATGGCAGAACATGCTAACAAAAATAAAATTAAAAAACCCCTCTGCCCTGAAATTGAGGATCTAAGTATTTTTCCAGGTTTTAAATGGTGTACAGAAATTAGAATTACCACCCACTGGCTGCAAGGAGTTACATTTCCCTCTTGTGGGGACAGCATTTCTGCCACCATGTTGGAAACCAGACATTGACTCTGGTGACCCGACAATTCTTCAGTTTCATCTGCTTCCTCCAGCTCCCCTGACAGGTCACTCTGAATGGCAACTGCAATTACAAGAGGAGCCAGGGTCTCTGGCAGGGACATGACAGCCACAAGCACAGATGAAAGCTTAGCTCATTTTCCTGGAACCTCTTCATCTTTCAGTTCGTGGCTCTTACTAATGTTTCATGATACCGTTAAAAGGATCTTTCCAAGTTTCTATTGCTTTTACATCTCACAGTGAGCACAGTTAAGCACATGCCAGGCACACCAACAGCCCTCCAGAAGCTTAAAGGCATTCTTACACTTTGCTCCTGGAGTTGCCTGCACTACCAAGAGGGCTAATATCCCCCTCAAGTAACTGGAGTGAAACCAATGGACCTGGACCACAAGTGAACCTGCTTCTAGGATGAGCCCTGCTGCAGCCTGTGGCTGGTGCTTTCCAGGAGCCAGGCAATTTATTGCACCAGGGAGGGTTCAGTTGAAACCTCCCAGCTTCCCTTTTGTTGCCTGGAGGATGCAAACCACCATCTATCTACCAGAGTATAATTAGAGCACAGAGGGGAAGGAAGTAAAATAGAAAAAGCTTCCTACTTAAGGCAGTGATTATCATTCCATCATGGGATTTAAAACTACTTAGACAGAGTTCAGTCCACGTTACTGAAAACTGTACTGACACCCATCAATCAAGATATTCACCTGCCTGAAAGCAAAGCAAATCACGGCATATGAACATTATACAGCTTGAAAACAGCTAATGAGAGCTTAACTTTTACTGACAACAGGGAACTATCTTTCAAGTCTCTCACAGAAGACAAGGAAAGCAGAGTTGGTGCTTCAAAGAAGTAGAGAAAAATGTTTGCTTCTCAGTGCATTGATATTAAACCTCCTTTGTAAGGCTGTATAAACCTTTCCTGTGACCATCTGCTTTGTACTTTACTATACAGTCTTTCTTAATTACACAAACCTATTTTTCTAACATCTGATGGGGATGATCTCCTTTGTTTTGTTCTTTTTTCTTCAAAGTATTATAGCAGATTTATCAAGCCACATGCCTGGGTAACATTCAGGCATACAGAAGATTTATTTTGCCCATTCTCAAAGTTCTGCTATTACACCTTCTAATCCATTTTTCTGTTTTGTTTTACCTGATCTTGGTGTATATGTAACATCAAACGCACACAAAGGTATAACATCTAGGCTTATGGAAAAGGTCATGGTGGCATTGAGCAGAGTGGATTGGACAAGTTTCAGAAACCGAGAACATGCCCTCAGGAGCTATGTTGCACTTGAAGAAACAGATCCTGAAATTCTTCGGGAAAAATCCTCTTTCACAGGAAACCTAAGGGCTTCAGCACTATAGTCATTGAATCATCATGATCAAGAGCGTTCCAATCCAGAAAAGACGTGGCAAGAAATTAAAAAAATACAAAACAATTATTGTGAATCAAGGTGTTCATGAGTCACTCGAGGAACCAGCAACGGGTTTGCCTTTTTTCCTTTTCTTCTTCACAAGGCTCCCAGCACATTTACAAAATATCAGTTATAAACCACATTGTAGCGAGATAAGCAAAGTGGGTGGGGTAGGGAGGAAGGAAAGAAGCAGATATGTAATTCACAGTAAGTGAACCACTATTAGTTTGCCAGAATAAGTAGTTACAACTTCAGAATATCCCCTGGTCAGCAAAAGGGATTCAAAAACCTGAAACTGTATCAGATGCTTCTGATAAACAGAGGGAACCAATGCAAGCATGACTAATTCCAGATTTTTACCCTTCAACCCTGGAACACACACTCTCTGCTTTTTCAAAATCCCTTACCAGCAGATTTAGGCGCAAGGATTTTAAGAGCACCAGAATGGAGAGCAGAATGTCACAGAAAACAGTGCTTCCACCCACACTCCTGCTCCCAGGGAACCACCCCACTTGGCTCTCCTCAGCTCTCATTACTGTAAAGGAGATGGGACTGTATTTCAAGCTAGCAGCATTACAGGATGCTGGCAACTCATTTGCAGGCAAACAACAACTGAGCTGCTGACTTCTCCTGGCTGATTTGCAGCAGCTTACAGGGAGATAAAAAAAAAAAATAAAGCAGAAAAAATATGAGCAATATATTAAAGGAGAAAACAATTTCCCCATTACAAATAGGCATTTGGTATATTCCTCTGTCTGTTGTTCCAAACACATTTATCCCAGCAGAAAAAGTTAATGCAGAAAAATACAGTTCTTTAATTTAAATCTGGATGTCTCATTTGTATCTTTGCACATAGGGCCTGGTCCTCCAAGCACTCTTCCAAATTAGAGGGAGCTATATTATCCTGTAAACACATCCCTGATTAGGCTGTTAGTCTGTAGCCTTGATATTATAATAGCTTTTAATAGATTGAGGGTCAAGCCCTATTGTGCTGAGTAAACTAATCTCTTCATGTATTTTTATTTTTTTTTTTTACATCTGAAATGGAATAAATGTTGCATTCACAAAAAAAATCCACATATATCATGACTGATGACTAAACAGCAGCCCTATAATCATGCACACTGCTGCAAGAGCTTTTTTAGTCTCAACTATGCAGAGTCTTTCTCTGCTATGTTAACACACAGGGCTTCCTAAGTATGTGTAAAATTTAATAAACCATACAAAAATCCTTTATGACTCTAGGATTTTGAAAATACAAACAAAACAAGAACACTAGACAGAACTTCACATAAGGAAATGGCACCCTGAGAATGAACATACTGAAGAAACTGCCTTGTGTCCTTCCACTTGCAAACTAAGGAGGAATAAAAGAACATCTGGCTTGTAACCACCACAGATCTCATGACTAACTTCCCATTTCAGCTTTAAAGGAAGGTTGAGACATCCTGGAGACAGGCACCACAAAAATCTGCATTAAGAAGCAACGGAGAACTGACCTCTATATAAATAGGAATCCCACACACAGCTCCTTCAGAAATAAGTTTTCTCATCAGCTTGGACAAAGCCAGGATTCAATCAAATTTACAATCTGAATTTGTAAAAATGTTTAAAAATTAAAAATGTCTGTCCTTTCAAAACATTCCTCAAAATAACTAAGAGTCACTGAGACATCAGTTACAGACAGGTCTCAT